TTTTTAGCGCATATTTGTTTCAAGAGTGTCAGGAAAAATTTTCAAGTGCAATTAATGAAGTTAACATTGATTTACTGTCAAAAAAGTCGCATTTTTTCACAAAAAACGCGCGCGCGCGCGCACTTTTGCTCAGATTCCTTCAAAACCAAAAAATGCACATAATATACATAATTCTGAGTTTGCATGCAAAAAATCAGCCTCCTACGACAATTCTAAGTTATGTTTAACCACTGTTTAAATTTTCCGGAGAGTAATACGTTTTGTGCCCCCCCCCCTTACATTTTCTCCTAAATGATTAGATCTCTGATTTAGAAACATGATCTCCTAAACCTTGGTGAAATTATCCCAGAAACAGATTATTATCTTCTCAAAACTAGAGATAATTCAAGAAGAAAACGCAGTATCAGGTTAACATTATAAATCAATAAATCAACCAATCAATCAGTCAATCATTCAATCAATTAATAAATCAATTGAGTATTAACAAATGCCTTAATTTAAAAAAATCTTAATTGCGAGTTTCTTGAAGCAAATACGATTTTTAATATTGAAACTACAGATTTTTTAAAAAGGAGATAGTAGTTGAACTACATATGGTTAGTTCAACTAAATCTAAAGAATTATTTCAACTACTTTTCTAGCACGCTCACGACCACACTTGAATACTAATTAAACTATCAAAGGCCATATTTCAACAGCCGAGCTTCATTTTTCATTAATTATGACCTCAGTTGTATGGTTTCTAGACAAAGGTTGAAAATTGAAGATGTGAGGCTTCTACTAAACTTTGTTAGTATTTTAGAGATCTATCAGATATATTGAAGAATGAGTCGGATGTAGACTGGTCAGAGTTTCAGGTAAACAAACATCCCCCCACCCTCCCATCGTTTGTTTAATATTTTCTTTTCCCATTATTAAAGCAACTGATAACTTGTCGCAAACTAGAAATATCTAAACCATAAACCTTTGCAACCTGATCATGTAAATTTGACTATAACATATCAAGCAGAAATTATAGTCTGAAATATGAAAGGTCCACACCATCAGGTCGCAAAGATATTAGGATAAGAAAATTAGAATTTGTTTTAGCCCCCTCCTAATAAAAGCTTTTACTTTTACTTTTACAAATGTAATAATAATATAAATCCAGGAGTAATGGTTCCATAATGATTTATTTTACTTATATGTGCAATGCATTGAGAGCATATTACTCTTTTATATTGAATATTCCCAGATTCAGAATATGTTAATATTGAATATGTATTTTTAATGATTCCATAAAAGTATTAGAATTTGATGTAAGAAACGTATAACTTTTTATTCTTGGGAACCCAGCTTTGCCTGAAGTTTTCCCAATTCAATTCAATTAAACCCACTCAATTTAGAATTTTAAAATCAATTTAAAAAATTTAACGTGGTTCTCTAGAGTTCCCCAATCAAAATTTGAGGCAAATCAGTCCAGGGGGGTTCATGAGTTATGATAGGATAAACAAACAGAGATTACTACTTTATATATTTAGATACTCCCAGATTCAGAATATATGTATCTTAACGATACGATTTAAAAAAAAAGTATTAGAATTAGCTGTAGTAAAAACGCATGATTTACCCAGCTTTGCCTTCAGTTTTCCTAATGAAATTCAATTCAACCCAATCAATTTCGTGGCTCTACTGTGTTCCCCAATAACAATTTTAGTAAAATCGGTTGAGGGGCTTATGACTTATGATCGGACATACAAACAAACGGACAGAAAAATTGAGATCTCTTTCCTGATATTCATGATATTCATATTATTATTATTAACCCTATTCCGGTTGAGGGGGGGGGGTCCCTGGGACCCCCTGACGTTTTTTGGAGATAACTCAAAAAGTATTGGTCTCAGGCTGTTCAATTTTTATTACTTTTCTAACTAACACATGCCCCTCACTTAAGGCTCAACGTGGGGCTTTTATACATACTGCATGATTCCTCAGGCATACTGCCTGAATGCCTTATTTTACCTCTACCCGACTAGATCTATATTTAGACCTACTTCCGGTCATTGGATTTTGACTTTTGATAGCTCTATGGAAAGGTTTGAACAAAAGGAAGCAGATTGCACAATTTTTTCTAAGAAACTTTGCATAGGGTTTCTGCACAGATGCCTTTAAAGAGAATTTGCATATTTTCAATTTTTCTTGAATAAAAATAAAAGTTTTGAAAATTTTGAAAATATTTTTTGCAGTTTAGGATAGGTTTAATATTATTATTTACTAAATTATAATATATTGAAAATGAGGAATTTCTCAAGCAAATTTTGAAGTACAGAACAGTTTCTTGTTGAGCTTGTGAGATCAACATTATTCCATTATTTAATTATTTTATTTAAATAATTAGAGAGAAGTAGTTATTGCACATTTTTAAATCCAACCACTGCAGTTCGCTGGTAAATTCTAATTTTTTAATTTCCTTTAGGCCCCAAAAGAGCGGGTGAAACGAGTTCCTCTTAGTAATCAGATTTTAGGAAATTCTTAAAACACTTTTAAGAAAAGTTATCACTCTTGGACATTTAAACTTTAAATGGTTCAATAATCAAACAATTTAGCTTCTTAATATTTCTACTTAAATTTCATTTTGTAATGAAATAAGTTAATTTTTTATTTTTTTTACTTTGTATTTCATTGTTTTTAAGAATAAAATGGATTAAGGAGAAGGTATTATTGGCCCAAGACTGGAATGGGATCCATTGGATCCAGCAATCAAGGATTCTATGGATTCAAGTACATCAACTAGGGATTCTAGGGATCCTGAAAGGGATGCTAGGGATCCTGATAGGGATGCTAGGGATCCTGAAAGGGATGCTAGGGATCCTATCTATGCATCCAATGATCCATTTTACAAGTTTGAAAGAAGACTGGTGGAGAATTTGCTCCCACGAAGGGTAAGAAACTAGGAAAAGTTTGATATAATAATCTTGAAGAAAAAGATTCACACATTTGCAACTATTAAGCGTGCATTACTTTGGTTGTGTGTATATATATATTTTCAGATTTTTGATGCTTTGGGTAGGTTTGTATATGCTTACTTTACATATTTAATATTAGGATAATGTTGCTTAAAGAAAGGGTAGACCGTCTCCAGTTCCGTTATCTAAAATAATAAAGTTCTTAAATGGAAAACACATGAAAATACGAAACATTCGTAGATTATTACACACTACACAGTCATTAATTGTACGTTTTTAGAAATCCAGTTTATTAACCCAGGTTAACTCATTTATTTTTTCATACTGAAAAGAATTGCACGTTTGCTTGAATACAGTTTGATACAAGTATTAATATAATATATTTATTAACAAATTAATCCAATATTCGATGAGTCAGGATGATATAAGGTTTCTATTATTTCTTTGGGCTAATGGTATTTTTAATATATATGCATTATGCATAATGCATTGTATAATGCTTATATTACATTCCATTAATTATTGATATTTCATTGTTCATTTGTTTTATTTATGTTTAAGCAATAATAATAAAAGAAAATAATACCAAGACAGCTAATATAAAAGAACTCTATAGTAATGTTGAAAATAAGAATTAAAATGAAAAAAAAAACTAAAAAATCCTTCTTATTTTAAAACAAAGACTATTAATAATAATGATGAAATTTAAGAATATAACTAAAAATGTACTATTTTCTATTTAAATATTCTTTTTTCTCAACGATAACAATAAAAATACAACTTTTGTTTAAATAATTATGATTATGGTATTATAATGATATTAATAATAGTGTTAATATTGTGAATATTATTCTGTATTCAAAATAGTTATCTATTATTAAGATGCATAGTAATAATGATTCAAATCCTGACTGTTACGTCTAAAATGACTCAAAGTATTTATATTATGATTCAGTTTATTAAAGACATACGCATTTTTAAGAATCTTTCCTACTACTTGTACATTGAACTATGCACCCTGGTTAAACTTTATAATTCCTAATTAAACTTAATACATTTTTATAATTTTCTGCTTACTTTAATTATCGTATAGCATTTGTTTACATAAAAAATAGATCCACAAGTCGAACAAATTAAGTTTTTTCTAAATCAGACAGTGCAGGTATTAAAAGGACCGTCTGAAACGCGGTTGGTTATGTAAGTTAAAGCAAGCCATGATAATAAGTACAAGTACCATTATACCAAGTACCATTGTACCAAGTACCATTGTATAAGTACTATTGTATAAGTACCATTGTACCAAGTACCATTGTATAAGTACCATTGTATAAGTACCATTGTACCAAGTACCTTTGTACCAAGTACCTTTGTACCAAGTACCATCATACCAAGTACCATTGTACCAAGTACCATTGTATAAGTACCATTGTATAAGTACCATTGTACCAAGTACCTTTGTACCAAGTACCATCGTACCAAGTACTATTGTACCAAGTACCATGTACCAAGTACCATTGTACCAAGTACCATTGTACCAAGTATCATTGTACCAAGTACCATTGTACCATGTACCATTGTACCAAGTACCATTGTACCAAGTACCATTGTACCAAACCAAGTACCATTGTACCAAGTATCATTGTACCAAGTACCATTGTATCATTGTACCGAGTACCATTGTACCAAGTACCATTGTGTCAAGTATCGTTGTACCAAGTACTATTGTACTATTTGATTTTAATGTTTAGTTGATGAGTGAGGTGAATGATCCAGGATGGGAGCAGATGTGGTATCTCAATAGAAGGGATAGTTTAACTATGAACGTACAGGGTAAGTAGTTAATTTGCATGGCACCCCCATATCTTTGTTTACATAAAAGTGTACTGCAGTTTTTTTGGAGAAATATAAACTAAGTTCGGCCTTAAAAAGAAATATATATTGACTTGGAACCTCCATATCTGAAACGTCAAAAGTCAAAACTTTGTAATGGGAGGAGATCAAAACAAAGGCCAAAAAATCATTAATGTGAGGGGGGGGGAGGGGCTTAGTATTTTAAGAACTACGGCTTGAGAATATTGTACACAGTACACACTTTAGTTAATAAGTCGGGCTGGGCGTCGTTCCTTGGGAACGATCCTTCTTTCTTCGGAACGAACAAACTATTTAAAAAAACGTAGGAACAGGGTCAGTCGATAGTTTATAGTGTAGTTCCTTGTTAATTCCATGGTTAACACTGCTTATTATTTAATAGTTGTATTTTCCTAATTAAATTTTTCTCCTCTTCATTTTTCAGATATCCAAAATGTGGTCGGCCTATTTGTATCTTAAAAATGAGAAAGATTTTTTTTTCAGATTTCATGAAATAATAGTAAAATTGTCTCCGCATGTTGTTCTTTTATATCTAGAAGTAACGTACGTATCTTCCGTCCACCAAATTATTAATTAAACACTAGACAAACGACGATATCCACCATATTATTTTTTAAATAAAGTTTATAACACTTTTATGCCCCTCTTAAAATGAAGAGTCACTTGAAATCGCAGCAACAGTCCATTAAAAAGAATATTTTACACTTGTTGATTGGATTTTGGTTTAGGTGCATGGAACCTGGGTGTTACTGGTCTAGGCGTAGCTGTTACAATTCTAGGCAATTCATGCAATATATTCAGTAGTGTAGTATCAGGATTCAGAAGTGTAGTTTAGGATATTAGGTAATGCAGTATCAGAATTAGGAAGTAAAGTGCTAGGATTAGAAATTGTATATTTGTAATAGATTATAGAACTAGAGCTGAAAACTTTAGAATGGTGGATATTTAAACCAATGCTTGATCTCCTCTTTTTCTTAATCTCCAGATTAAATAATGCTTGTTCTCCTCTTGTTATTAATCTCCAGATTAATTAACCAATCGGGATATCCCATTTAAAAGTTCCCAGTATAAGATTAGTAATAGACATTTGTCAGGATTAGTAAGGACTAGGAAGTGTAGGTTTAGTAAGGATTTAGTAGACGTATACTGAGCTGGGAACTTTTGAATGGTGGATATCGGTATTAATGTTTGATCCACTCTTTTTCTTAATCTCTAGACGGCTCAAATTCTTTAATTTCGGCCTCGGGATTAAGGATATACCATTCTAAAATTTTCGGCTTAGGATGTCTTGAATAAATCATGAATTGATCAGATGATGGTATAGAGAAAGATCATCCTGATCTAATTCGTAATTATGATCCTCTCTCCTCAACAGATATTAATGATGGAGATAGTGATCCTAATCCAAGGAACAGTTAATATCTTTTATTCAACTTTTTTTTTGCATTTGAAATTGGAAATTTTGATGAAAAACGCTGATACTCTATTGGTATCTTGAGTTGATTTGTAGACGTCATTTTAAGTGTCTCTCTATTTCTGTAAAGGAATGCCCTGTAATAATGCAGTTTGAACATACCTGTATAAATTGCATTGTACATTGTCTGTAAATCTAACTGCGCTAATCCTGAAATGCACAAAATCTTGAAAGACTAGACTATACTAGCTACGTATTGTGATTAGCTCAACTACGATGATATTTATCTGCGTATAAGAACTTAACATGTAACATACATATATTTGTAAATCAGTTGGTTGCGACTCTACTTTGATTACGATATTAGAAGTAATTTAGTCCTCGTTGAAACATATGAGCTGAGTTCGTGCCTTAAGATTTGGCATAGATCGATTAAGAGCTTGTTTGATAGCTACGCTTGTGTCCCTGTGTGACGTTCAGAGCTGATAAGATGTCCATTGGTTTGACATTGATCACTGAAGAGTTTTTGTCCTGGTTGACATTTATAGCTGACGGGTTGTACCTGGACTGATACAGTTCCGGACAAAGTTTTAAGAGTACGGCATTTACTACAGCTTGATTCTATAAGATACCCTTTAATACTATCGTTAAGAAAATTTTTTAATTGTAGTTCCACTACATAAGGGATCTGATGTAATTTATAAAAATTCAGCATAATCTAATATAGAAAACTAAAATATCTTCATCATTGTTACTCTGAAAGAAGGGGTCCATATAATTCCATTTCTGATTCCAAATGGGATCGGGGTTGAAAGTACATTTAGGGGCATGAAAGTACACTTTATATGTCATTTTGAACTTTGACAAGTTTTTGTGTACGTGTAATACACTTCAGAAATGTGTACTGCATTTTGGGTGTTAAAAGATGTAAATATTAGTATTTAATATAAGAGATAAATTATGATATACAGAAAAATAAACACTCCCTTGCAATAAACATTTTGCATTATGGAATTTTTTCTACAACTTGACATAACTCTTTCAATTGTTTACAATAACGACATGGTTTATTTCTGCCCCTAATATCAATCAATCAATATTTGGGATTGATCAGATGGAATTATATGGACCCCTGTCTGACAGAGGTTTAATGGGTAATTGGGTGACGTTGTAAATTGGACTACATCCCCTTTAAGCAGGCAATAGAAGATATTAATAATAATTTATAAATTAGGATTTGCTCAAACGTTTATTACACTTGACCTTTAAATTGAATGTTTATTTACTTATTGTAAAAATAATTATTCTGATGAATTTGTTTACATTCTGAAAAAAAAAATTGCTTTATGAAGTGCAAGTTTCCATTTTTCCCCAAGCATCAACATTTTTTTTTCTATTCATATTTCTTATAAATACTTTCCTTGTCTAATTGGCATGAAAAAATGCTGTTTTATTTTGATGAGGTAAATAAAACAACAAGGTTTAGATATGAACTAGTTGGTTGGTCCAGGTATGATTTCTCTGACTCTAACCGGCACGGTACTCGCTGTGCAGGTCAAGTGGCGGCTACACCCAACAATTCACTCTGTGCTATCGGTATAGCCTTCAATGCACAGATAGGAGGTCAGTAGTCTTTCATTTTCCGTATTTAGGGTGTCCCACATCATATGCATACTACATAGCTGCAAATCGAGATTTTTTCGGGATTAAACTAAAAATTGAAATATTGCTAAAGTTTGAAAAAACCTTCCAACGTACAGGGTTCTTTATTATGTAGTAGTTATTTTACTGTATTTTTTAGTTAATCCAATATTGTATTTGAATCTCTGTAAATCCAATTCAATTAACTTTATTTTTAAATCACCAATAAACGAATTAATACTGTTTAGGAATCCGTATGCTTGATGGCCAGGTTTCTGATGCAGTAGAGGCAAGGCAGGGAAAATATATTCAATATTCAAAACAAGAAAATTCCATTGTTTCCATTTTATCCAAAACGATGTTGCTTTAATCTTCAAAATCTGGGTGAGAAATTATAAACCCCTAGAGGTTGAAACTTTTAAATGACCTTTGTCTGAATTATAAATCCTCTGCGGAAACTGTTATCGTATAACAAATACATGATAAAAAACACCTAGCTTATATTTCAGCAATCTCTTATTGTCCGAGAGAATATTTTTTGCGGGTTTTAATTGGTCCATCTTAAAGAGTATCCTTAAGGATTTAACTTAATTTTTCCAAGATAGAGAATTGTGCTCTTTTGAAAGGATTTACTTAACATTCGTTCCGACCTCTGGAGTTTAAGGGAGCCATTTATAAGTTGATATTTTTTTTAATTCTAAATATTTTGAATTGTTGATTAACTGAATATATTTGTAGATCCCTGTCCTTTAACCCTGATCATATCCATATATACTCGGCCTCTTGGGGTCCTAATGATGATGGTGAATATATTATTATTATTTTTTAATATTTTTTCAACTTGATGAATATCAAATTTGAACTTTAAACATGGGATTTTTATTTCTGCTAAAAATTCCCAATTGTGCTGTGCTCGCTTGTCTTAGATCTCATATTATTTATTTTCTATTTTCAAGAATAAAAATTAAGCATTTTTAAATATTTCTGGAAGATTATGCAACCTGACTTATTGAGTGGTTTCACCAGGGAGATGTTAGGTTTCTTTATTGTTGTAATTTTTGTAAACTTATTACTCATCATTAACCTTCTAGTACACATTTAGTATGATTCAACTTGGCATTGAATTTTAGATTATTCAGTAAGTTCAAGATTAAATGTTTAATTACATAACTCTGCAGGATCGAATGGTTGAACGAAATGTTGAGATATATCTAAAACTAAACTACAGAGTTTAGAATAAGAAATATTTTTTTTTCTTAATTCTATCTAGAATATTAATTCTAATTGGTATTGAAAAAAGTACTTCGACAAAGTCATGAAGTTAAACTTACTGGAATTTTGCAACCAAGCACTGATATATATATCCGATCAATCAAATTTTGTTCTGAATACCCCCACTTCCATTTTATTCATACAAATTTAAAATGAATCTTCTTAAGTTGTGAATTGAATAGAGTGAAATTTTTTAATTATTTACAAAAATAGTTAATGTTACTCATTTAGATTTATGAAATTATTATTATAATATTTAGAGTATTACTGTTACTACCAGATGATGATTTAAACATACTTAAAAACAAGTTTTATGAAATTAATACATATATGCAATTATGTTTTAATCAAACAAGATTTAACGCAATAAATTCATTTAGAAATTTCAAAACGTTTATATCATATTATGAAAATAAGTGTCACATTTTGTATCTTTGCTGAATAATGACTGAATGATTATTATTGTCAGGGTCGTTGTCTTAATTAATATTATTATTCATATTACTATCATCATTGGCATTGCCATGATCATTGGGATATTCAAATATTATTACTAACGTTATTATCATTGCTTTGAATGTCATCTCTATCATATTTATTATAATATTTTTATAATCTTTATCATTATCATGATCATTATCATCAACTTAATCATTATCATCTTTATTTTCATTATTATCATCATTATTTATTATTGTTAAATTTATTTATTTGTTTGTTTCAGGAAAAACAGTGGATGGACCGGGAAAGCTGGCAACCCGGGCATTCCAACAAGGCATATTCAGGTAGAGTAGATATTCCAACACGGAATATTCAAGTAGAGTATATATTCCAACAAGGAATATTCAGGTGGAGTAGATATTCCAACACGGAATATTCAGGTAGAGTAGATATTCCAACACGGAATATTCAGGTAGAGTAGATATTCCAACAAGGAATATTCAGGTAGAGTAGATATTCCAACAAGGAATATTCAGGTAGAGTAGATATTCCAACACGGAATATTTAGGTAGAGTAGATATTCCAACAAGGAATATTCAGTTAAGAGTAGATATTCCAACACGGAATATTCAAATAGAGTTAATATTCCAACAAGGAAGATTCAGGTAGTGAAGACATCCCAACAAAGAATATTCATGAAGAGTAGAAATTTCAACAATTGTTAAAAATATGAAATATCAACTATTTACGAATGCGTCGAAAAATAATCGATGACTATTTTTTGTAATATCTGAATGATTTTTTGGAATTAAATTGATTTGTTTACGATCCGAGTTGAATGTTGCATCTTTCTTAATTTGTATGGACACTACGTTCTTCGGTATCAGTCGTTTTTAACAAATTTCTCCTTATAGAGGCAACAGATAGAAGTAAGATTAGTAGCGATCAAAAGCGCTTTTTTTATCGCATTAAGCATTTTTCGCGAACACTCCATTTAAGACACTTTTCTCTGAAATTTTGCTGATGAATACATATTATGGCTGAGATCATAGAAAAAAATGTATTTTATATTTATTTTATATTTTAGAGGTCGGGATGGATTAGGGTCAATTTTTGTCTGGGCCAGCGGCAATGGAGGCAGATACAAGGAATGATAAAGAATTTGAGACAAAAATTATTATTTTTTATAGCAGAGATTTTATTAATATCGCGAATTAGGTGAACTATGTATGGGTAGTACAACTACTTGTCTAGTGTACTGTCGGCCACACTATTCATGCCTAGTTTAACTACTATTCTATATTTATTAATTCATACTTCTCAACAAATTTTTTAAACTATTTTGTCTGAATTTATATTTATTTGAAAGGATAACTGTAATTGTGATGGATATGCTACTTCAATATTTACTATAACAGGCTAGTTGACTTATCACATAATATGTAAAGGAACTGATTACTCGCCTAAACTCTTATTTTTATTCTTTAGTTTTGAAACTATTTCCAACTTTGTTTAGCCGATTTATTAGTTTTAGAGTATAGAGTTTCCAATGGGAAATAACAAAGTGTAAAGCCAATTAAAAAAGAAGAATATGAGGTATAAAATTTTTCTGGCCCATTACGAAGAATATGTAACATGATACAATTTAAATGTTTTTAAAAGAAATATGACTTATATTAAACTACAGCTTTAGTCATATAGTTGGTATCTTATGAGATAATGACCTAAATAACTTTTTTTTAAACTTAGTTTTAAGTATTTTTTTCTATCGGGAATTAATGGTAAAATAATATTTATAAAATTTCCGAAAACAAATATATTTATTTTAGTTAGTAGTACATCAGAGGGTGGATCTATACCCTGGTATTCTGAACCATGTTCAGCTACTATAGCTACTACCTATAGTTCAGGTTAGATCATACAGAAGGACAAAGGATCAAACTTCAGTGACGGCTAAACAAAACTGGTGGTTTATTCAATTTATTTATATACAATATGCAATATGCATGCTTCCCTGTTTAAACTTGTTTCTTTCTTATTTACCAAATTATCGAGTTTACCAACAGAAGACAAAATGAAGACAAAACCACAAATTCAATGCGCTCATTCTAGTTTTATGCGCGCATTCTAGTATTAAAAGTGTTGAAGGTCGTCATTTCAGTTTTATGTGGTTAACCCTGAATCTTATTTTATTCGTCAGATTTTTTATTTTTATTTAAAGGCTCACATGAAACTTAATGACCGGTCTTTAAGTTTATCTGTATCTGTTCAAACATCGTCAAAGAATACAAGACAAAACAAAACAAAAAGTATTCAATAGAAATTACAATAAAACAATACTTTCTAGACGAAAATAGGTTCAAAGAAGCGGCATTGAACCAGGATTTAACCAGGACATATGTTTAATTATTCTTTCTATAATGAGATTTCACACTGTACGTACATCTGTAAAGTATTTACAGATGTAATTATAGTACATAATGCATAGGATTATATCTAGGGACAGCCACTGAAAAGCAGATTGTTACAACGGATCTACATCATAAATGTACAACAAAACATACAGGTGAGTTGGGCATCACTACTATCTCTTCACGCGTAAACCAGCAAGGGCGTAACATCATCTTTAGGGGGACATTTTCAAGGATAAAAAGTATTAAAAGAACAAGAATAAAAAAATGTCTTTCGATGTTACATTTTTCATATTTTCTCCGAAATCACAAAAATCTAGGAAGATTACATTTCTAAGTTGTATTTGCTTTCAGTTTTCTTCTATGAAATAATGATAAATTACTCAAACTCAGTCGTTTGTTAATGATCGATTTAAAAAAAAAAATCGGTCAGGTTTATATATCTTCTGCGAGAGTCAAGAATCAAGATTTTGCGTTGTGTAATAAATTAAAATATCTTAAATTTCTCAATTAAGCATTTTAAATTCTTAAAATAGTTATTTAGTTTTTAATTTTATCAAAAATGGAAAAGTTAACCTTTCCAGCTAAACTGTATTTCCTGGGGGGGGGGGGGGGGGGGGGCGAATGGCCAATTTTTTTTTTAGTAAATTTGTCAAGGATTTTAATAATATCCATCACTTATCTGGACAATCCCTTAAAATGTTATAATTGCATATAATGCATAATTGCATAGATTAGAATGTATCCAGGCATAGATTAAAATAAGTCTAGACGATATTCATATTGTTATAATTTGTATACTATGCATTATCTTATCTCTTATCTTAATGTTGAAAACTGAAATTAAATATTTGGATGTTTTGAGTTCACAAACTTAGATCGAGATAACAAAAGTATTAATTAGAAATATAAGTTGTACTTTGAACCAGTGTTGAGAGTTGAAGTACTGAGATAATTAATAATTCAATGTGTTTAAAGGGCCGACAATCAGCATGATTTCAAGTAACCTTCCCTTTAGAAGTTTCCTGCCTAATTAACAAATAACTTTTCCTTTAAACTATTGTCTAAACTAGAATTATGGATATTTTTTCTCACATTTTTACTCGGATATAAGCATAAGGTGACCTTTATGAAGTCGTCTTAAAATAACGTTAAAAGTCTCTTAAAAGAAAACAATAATTAAATCTATTCCGCTTGGTATGCGAAGATTTCTCCTTTGATATTATTAGATTGTGTGATGTTGAAAATCTCTCTTCACTTCTATTTATTAATTTATTAATCACATTTCTTAAGAAAACAGAAAAATATTACGCAGGAGCTATCTAGACGTCATACAAGATGTTTTTTTCTTCCGCGAATTTTTCTGTCCTTCATATTTTTAAAATAAAACTTGTCTTGTGCCATAAACCAGGGAGATTCCAGATATTTTTAGGTACAAAGGAATGGAGTCTTTGCCACAAACTCGGATTTTTAAATCCCAATTTCTTTAAAACAAAATGTCGTAGACCGTAGATATTTAAAACTATGAATTCTGGTGGATCAAACAATGAAAGTTTGAAATTTGAAAGGTATGCATCATCTGGTTGTTGAGATTTAGGTATTACAAAATTGGCATTTGTGGCAAAAACTTAATTCCTTTTAAGAATAATTTCAACGGGGTTATTTGGTAAACTGGGGCGAAAAAATACAGTAAACGGAGGGAAAAACTATTTCCCCAGTCCAGTGAGAAAAGTTTTGTTTTGAGAGGGAAGGGGAAATGATTTTCAAAGTAATAACATTTTCTCACTTCAGTCTATATATTGTATATGTATGTAGAAGAACAAAGGGGCCTCAAGGTTGATCTAAGGTTAATAATCCCAGTAAAGGGTTGATTGGTTGATCTAAGGTTGATAATCTCAGTGAAGGGTCGATAGGTGCTCAAAAGCTGGTTGATATCCTCTCTTTCCACAACTTTTCCATAGTCGCAAATACAAAATTCTGTATTTCAAACCTGTAAAAAAATTACAGGTATTAATTATGGCCAACAATATTTGAATATAGTTAAATGTTTGTATAAATCGTTATAATATTTGATAAACAACACTTACTAGTATTAGGTATGTTGGGGAAAATGAAGGGTTGATAGGATCAGGAGATTAAAAGTTTTTTCTGACGGCTGAAAAATAAATACCCAATTGGTTACAAAAATTATTGTTAAAAGCGATAATCACGAATTTTAAGCATTTCTATATTTAAACGTGTTTTCACTTTTCACGGATTTTAGTGTCTATTGACGGAGGAGGTTGGGTTTGGTTTCGGCTCTGGGAGTGGCGGATTTTGCTTTCAAGACGACTTTGAAGAAAGGTTTCAATATGATTTATGGTCTACAATGGATTGCTGTCGTATATATGTGTTGTAGAGCAACCTTATTTTATAGGGTTGCCAAAGTTTTATAACTGTCCTGAAGTCGGTTTACCAAAGCTGATTAATTGTTCAGGAACTAGCGCTAGTGCTCCTATGGCAGCAGCTATTATTGCTTTAACTCTGGAAGCTAACCCATCATTAACCTGGAGGGATGTTCAACATATAATGGTTAGAACAGCGAGGTCAGTTAACAGTTGGAATTAATGGGATAGATAATGTAATATCAAGTGACCCTCCATTGAAAGAAAAGAAAAGAAAATGGTGGCATGTCTGATTCACAATGGTCGGTACTCTGAAAAGCTTTTTAGCAAGAATCAATTCGACGTTTCTCTGTATAATCAACATTATTAAGTAGATAAATATAAAGAATATCATTGTGAATCAAGCATAGTCCTTCTAAAACGGAGGGGCACTTAAAATTTGAATGACTCCCTTTATATTTTTCAACATTTTTATCTTTATTTAGACCTGGTAATCTTCAAGCCCCTGATTGGAAACTGAACGGAGTCGGGAGAAAGGTGGGGAAATGTTTGTTTTTTAGACAAAATATTTTTTTATTTTCAGTTTTTTCAGTTTTAGAATTTAAACTGCATTGCAGGGATCGCCGAAGAAAGTTTCAATTTCTTTTTTTTGATAAAATGATATAATACATACATATGTTTACGTTTACGTTTACGTTTACGTTTACGTTTACGTTTACGTTTACGTTTACGTTTACGTTTACGTTTACGTTTACGTTTACGTTTACGTTTACGTCTACGTTTACGTCTACGTCTACGTCTACGTTTACGTTTGGCATTGACATTGACATTGATCAACTTTTACCTTTTTTGAATGACAAATTATTATTATTATTATTATTATTGTTATTTTCGCTTTACATTAATATTAAATTTCTTTAGGTTTCGCATAACTACGGATACGGACTAATGGATGCAGAGGCAATGGTGCGTCTTTCACGTAGGTCAGTTGATTTCTAATAAAAACTTACACAAATGCCATTTATTTGAGACTAAAATAAGCAAGATTTTAAATTTTAAATTTAGGGTTGTGTAGGTTTTATTGTATTTTATTTTTGGCTAAAATAGGAAAAATGAACGATTTTCTCAAGGGAGGTGGGGGGGGGGATTCTTAAAATTATATAATTCTTAAAATTGTACACCCCTGTAAATAAGGCTCGAGTCGTCTTGACAGACTAGTATTCAGTTTTAACAAAACTCACTTGTCTGACTTACATACCAAATGAAAGCATGTCCTTGAAATTATGTTAACTGGCTGTTTTTTAAATAACATTGTAATCCTGTAGAGAACAGGTGGATAACTACTCCTTGTTCTTTTATTAATATGTTTATCCTCTAGGTGGATAACTACTCCTTGTTCTTTTATTAATATGTTTATCCTCTAGGTAGATAACTACTCCTTGTTCTTTTAATAATATGTATATTCTCTAGGTGGATAACTATTCCATATGTTTATCCTCTAGGTAGATAACTACTCCTTGTTCTTTTAATAATATGTATATTCTCTAGGTGGATAACTATTCCTTGTTCTTTTAATAATATGTTTATCCTCTAGGTAGATAACTACTCCTTGTTATTTTAATAATATGTATATTCTCTAGGTGGATAACTATTCCTTGTTCTTTTATTAATATGTTTATCCTCTAGGTAGATAACTACTCCTTGTTCTTTTAATAATATGTATTCTCTAGGTGGATAACTATTCCTTGTTCTTTTATTAATATGTTTATCCTCTAGGTAGATAACTACTCCTTGTTCTTTTAATAATATGTATATCCTCTAAGTGGATAACTATTCCTTGTTCTTTTATTAATATGTTTATCCTCTAGGTGGATAACTACTCCTGCCCAGGGTAGTTGTGAGGTAGTATCTCCATACTATTACAAGGTTATTCAACCAATGAGTTTCATCACAATAGAACTAGATGTACTCTCCTGTCCTGGGGTCAGGTAATATTTTATTCAACATTTGTTTAGGGTTTTAAATAATAAACTTTTTGGGCTGTAAAGATATTTGTGCTGACTTTTTAGTGGGACTAAGAAGAGAGTCCTATCCATGTTACTTAGAAGAGAGTAATAGTTAACTAATTCTAGGTTCCTGGAACATGTAGTGAGTCTTATCCATGTTACTGCTTGTAGGAAAAGAGTAATAGTGGCCTATCCATGTAACTGGGAAGAGAGTAATAGTTAACTAATTCTAGGTTCCTGGAACATGTAGTGAGTCCTATCCATGTTACTGCTGGAAGGAAGAGAGGCGATCTAAGAATATATCTAATGTCTCCGTCTAAAACCAGATCTACTCTTCTGCACAACAGACCATCAGATTTCTCTAGCTCAGGTCGTCCATAAGAGATATTGATCTTATTGCTGCTTTTTTAGTCGATAAAAATAACATACGCCTAGTTTGGTTAGTTTTTAAACTTTTTGAACGGCACCAACATTTCAAAACTAAATTCTGTTAAAATTTCTTTGCAGAAGTATAAGGAATAAAAGAACCATAAACCATCTTTTAAAATAATCAGTTTTCAGGTTTTTATTTTGGCATGGTGCAAGGAAAGCGAAAGTTAAGAAAAACCATTTTAAGATTTGTTAAACCTCAGATTATCCATAAACCTTAATAGTTTAAAAATACAAACGAAGTTATAGCACATCACTAGATAATGGGAATTTTTAATGGGAATCAGGATTCTCTCTTGAACAATTCTTTGATTTTCCCTTACGCAATACGCTCACCAATAATAGTTTGATAAAGAGAATTTGTTCAGTAATTTAAACAATTTATTTCAGGTTTCACGAACTGGCCCTTTATGACAACACATTCCTGGGGAGAATCCCCTTTAGGTATTGATGATGATTTTGATGATAACGATATTATTGGTTATAAGATATCAGGAATAATGATTATGCTATTGATAATAATGACAAAGAAAATCATAAAATGCCAATGCCAATGCCAATGCCAATGCCAATGCCAATGCCCATGCCCATGCCCATGCCCATGCCCATGCCCATGCCCATGCCCATGCCAATGCCAATGCCAATGCCAATGCCAATGCCAATGACAATGACAATGACAATGCCAATGCCAATGACAATGACAATGACAATGACAATGACCATGACCATTATAATAACATTGATAATTAAAAATTCTTGCATATCTGTAACTTAAACCATATTAATTATAGGGAAATGGACATTAGAGATACACAACGACGCTTATTCTTCCTGGGTTTCTGAATCAAAGTTCTTCAGGTAGAGTTTCTTATTTCAGGCTTTAATTAAATGAATTTTGCTTTTAAAGCTGATTAAAACTTGTTTTGTCCAATTTTCTTTTTATCAGCAGAACATAAAAATTACTCTTAAAAATATATACCTTGTACTAAATTAGAATAAATTATAATAATAATATAATTTGTGTTATTAGTTCGCTATTTGAAACTTAAGTCTCTGACTATGATGGTTTCTGCTAATGATTTGAATACTGTTTCTCTCTTAATATTATATTCATTCAGATGTTTACAACCCTTTAACTATTCCATTTAAACTGGTAACATTCAAATCTTTTGCAACCGCGCGTAATTTTTTGCACTCTAGAACATCTGAAATCTCTTCCATCTCCTGAATTTTTCCTGTCACTAAACCAAATTGACTCATGTTACTCTAGGTGGTCTCTGAAACTGTATGGTACACGAACAGATCCTAACTCAGATAAAATAGAGGTTAGAACTTTGTTTGTGGATATCCAAGTTTTATTTTAAATAGTAAATGTTGATTTACAAGTGTACCCCAAGCATCATCGTTGATTTGATACTTAATTGATCAAAATTCGATCAAAATGTACGTTGATTAATGATGTGAAAGGTAAAAAAATTCCTGGCTAAAAAAGTTGGAAAAGTTGAATTCTGAAAAAAAAAATCCTTTGTTTCTGAAGCAAGTAATCCACAATCCACATGTCCCTTTTGCAGAGAACCCACAAATTAAAATAAAATGTTTTCAAAACAAAAACATGAAAATCTAATTCATACTTGATCAGGCAAAAGTTTTAAGGATTACAGTGCGCTTGAGGGACCTCAAAGAGATCAAAAAATCTCAAGTAACTTTTTTTGAGATTCTGAAAGAACCCATCAAGATGAAAATTTTGCGATATGTCCGCACTTTTTCCTAGTGCGAATTTTCCTGCAATTCGCATATTTGCAAAGTAATGTTTATTGACATTTTTCAGCCTTTTATATGGTAACTTACCCTCATTTAGATGTAAAATGTACTTCAAGATACTCTGTTTTAGCTGAGGATATAATTATAATATTTTCTTTTTGCTTTTGACCTCTAATACTGATTTACAAGCCTTAATTTAGTACTATATTCTTTATTCTAATCCTTTATATACTCTATACTTTTCCCCATAACATTTACTCTAGACCTTTCACCTTATTTTTTACTATAGACATCTCCCCCATCATTCACTAATCAATATAAGCCTTTCCCCTTATCATTTACTCCAGACCTTTCCCCTTATCCTTTAAGCTCTAGTCCTTTACATACCCTTTACTTTAGACCAAATCCCCTTATCCTTTACTTTAGTCTTTCCATACCCTTTACTTTAGACCTTTCCCCAAATCCTTTACTCTTGTCCTTGCAATACCCTTTACTCTAGACCTTTCCCCTTATCATTTATTTTGTAACTTTCCCTATATCCTTTACTCTTGTCCTTTGCCCTAATCCTTTACTTTATAACTTTCCCTTTATCCACTCTAGTCGTTTCCATTCTCTTAAAACTAAGCCTTTATCAAACCTCTATTATAAACCCTTAATGACGCACATGTGTTTAGAGTATAAAAAATGATAGGTCAAGCCTAAAAGTGTTAAACTGTAAAGAGTAAAGGATAAAGTTAGGTTCAGGAGGAAAGGATAATCAAAGTTAGTTCAGGAGTTTTACAACAAAACTCAACTCCCAAAGCAAAAGGACTAAAAGAATTAGCAAGAAAAAAGTTTTTTGAAAAGGATAGCAGTAAATAAAAAGGAAATTTTCAGAGTAAAGGATAAGGGGAAAGGTCTATAGTGGTATGGAAGGGTTCAGGATAAAGGATAAGGGAAAGGTCTAAAATAATTGGTATGGAAAGGTTCAGAATAAAGTATAAGGGGAAAGCTTTTAGCTATTAAAAGGTATAGGAAGGTTAAAAGGGAAAAGTCTTGAGTACAGAGTATTATCCTCAGCTAAAACAGAGTATCCTGAAGTATATTTTACTTCTAAATATGGGTATTTTTTTTAAATGTTCAAAGTAAGTTTCTATGTAAATAGTTAAAAAATAAATAGATAAATCATTAATTTGCCAATTGCAGGCATGTCATGTTGGCATTTGCATTAGTTTCAATCAAACATTTTTTGTTTTTTATATTTTTTAAAGGCATATTATGTGTTAAAAATAAAATTCAAATGAGCACACTTTTTATCTCTAACTTTCTCCTAAATTAACGTTATATTGAAATACTATACTTGAAAACACTTTTGTAATTGAAATTCAAAAATTTCGTAGTGTATACAACAATTGGCATTGTTGTTTATGCCTTCGCTATGGAAAAAAATTGTCGTCTTTTACTTAATGTTTTTACTGACGGTGTTAGTAGAGTCTAAGCTTATAATAATTAGCTTAGGTGAAATGTTTTTTTGACATGATGCAAAGTTTACATTGATGATTTAATTTAGGATCATGAGGAATGGTATGATGAACGGGAGGAGGTAGAGGAGACGGACTGGAAATTAAATGTAGTTCGTGAGGCCCCCCTGGGTATGTCAAACTCTTGTTTAGGGGTTAAAATTCTAAACAAATACAAATTTACAAGGGTCTTAAATTTAAATTTTACCCTCTTTCTTTTAAAATACAAAAGTTTTTCTTTTTTAACATTTCAAAAGGTTGTACTGGGAGAACTTATTTAACCTTTTGTGGGGATAAATGTTTTTGTGGGTTCAAATATTTTTGAGACAAAAGTATCATATGAAATAAAAAGCTTCAAAAAAATACTCTTGAATGTTTAAAGCATTTACATAACAAAATTTTGAATTGAATTGAATTTAGAATTTTAATTCATGTAACAAGCTAAACTCTGTAATCCAGAAGTTTCCATTTTGGATATCAAGTTATGGTTTTGTAACTTAGCTCAAAAGTTCCTGGCTCTGGTGAACATAATTCCTGGGAGGAAGGAAAACAATTTCTCAGAAAAGAGGCGTAAACTTACATTCTTAGAACGATAAGCAAACTTAATTATATTTTGAAATAAATTCCTATTATTATTCAGATATTCAGGGTTGGTTTACTTTAGTTATACATTGCTTCATAACGGGGATATAAATGGGTTATTATCACTCATTCTTAGTTCAGTTCAGCTGCCAATTAATTTTTGATTTCATATATTTTATATCTTTTATTCCTATAGAATCTACAACTACTCCTGTAAGCACAACAACTACTTCAACAAAAACTACTACAACTTCTTCAAAGACTACTAGTACAACTACTACTACAGGAAGCACAACCACTAAATCAGGGTTTAGAACCCGTGGTTGTATATCAAACACACTAGAGTGCACAAAGAATGTATCAGATTGTCGAATGTTTGAACATAGAAAGGTAACCGTAATTATATATTCATTGACATTTGTTCAACAATTTTATCCCTCATCATAAACAATAAATACAAAAAATACAAGTATATTTCATTTATTACTTAAAGGGAGTGTTCGCGAAAAATGAAAGGGGGTATAGGCTTAATGCGATAAAAAAAGCGCTTTTGATCGCTACTAATCTTACTTCTATCTGTTCTATCTACATAAACTCGGTATGAGACGTCTTTAACAATTTTCTCCATATAGATGCAACAGATAGAAGTAAGATTGGTAGCGATAAAAAACGCTTTTTTATCGCATTTTTCGCGAACACTCCCTTTAAGAGGGTTTTTCATGTAATTAACGTTCCCATGGGATGCTTTAAGATACAAATTCAAACAGCATTTTGATAATAAAAATATTTAAAATTCTCAAATTTTGTCTGTGAGCCTTTCTTTTAGATTGTTTTTTAGTAAGTTCCACTGTTATCAGTATTGATAAAAAAACAGCATTCCTTTTGTTTGTCAGATTCTTCATTCGTTCCTAATTTTGTCAATATTTTAGGTTGCTGGTATATTTTGCCACTGTATCCCTGGAACCTGTATAGGTGTAGCTTTCAGTAGAAACCAGTTCGGAGACTATAATCTACAATGTAATGTTGACAGTACACCTAGGCTTAGTAATCCACCTCCTCCCTTCTACTGCCAGTTTATTCCATTCTTCCAGGGAAAGAAAAGATGACAGGAGATGGAGGAGGAGAAGAGAAAGAAGGAGGAGAAAGAGGAGGAAAACGCGAAAGAGACAATGGAATAGTTGGCTATAGCTGCCACTGAACAGTATAAAGAATAATTACAATTGCATCCTGCTTACCACAACTAACATAAAAATACGTAAACCTACGGTTTTGGAAAATTAGGTTAACAAACGTATTCTGGTTCCTAGGGTAGCTGTGACAAACTGTAGAACAGATTCTAGTGACACATGTGTAAACTATTTAAAATATTTTGGGGCATTTAAACATTTTATTATTGGGTGAAACAAGCAAATCTTCCCAGAATCAGAGCCTGGAGAATTTGCCACTGAATAATCCAGCCTCATGATACAACTGCATTTATCAATGGAATGTATTGTAAATTGTTTAAACATCTTAGATTTATTAGACTTCGATATATTTCATATTTATCTTGTTATATATTTGTCCAGATAAGATCCGAACCTTAACTTATTTAATGACTCAAGATTTGTTGTGTTTTAGCAAGAAAATACTCTTTCTTTTATTCGGGATATTATTGTTTTTTTTTTAATTTTGACTCGTATGAAAACTACCTTTATATAAATTTAGATTATTATCTCAAGAAGTTTTCATCAAATAAATGGCTCTACGTTGTATTGGAGTACAGGGGTTTACATTCTTCTTCTTAATACTGTTTCCTTTGGTTTATTTTCCCCTCCGTGTGAGATGTAAGATTGAGAATTTCTGATTTAAAGGGACAGGTCGTTGTAAGACTATGTGACTCTTAATTTAAAAAAGGTGCATTCCTGATTCAAACCAGTACCTTTAAAACCTTGATTTTTTTCTATTTATTTCTCTGGCCTTAAAAAAGCTTTATTCTGTTAATTTCTCAATTGTTTTTGGAGCAAGAAATGCGCAAGTACCGTTTTCGGAAAACCACAAACATTTTACTAACACGTGTTTAAATCAAGTTTTGAAGGGTACCGTTGTGAATTAAATTTGCTACTCTGTCACTTATGTTTACAGGCCTTTTATATTCCATTTTTCACTTAATCTCCTGGAAAATTCTCAATATATATTAAATTAAAAAGTGTTGTATATCCATGAAGTACAAAGTTCACTATTGTGATGTGTTATTAATTAAATTATATTGAAACGCAGTATATTTAATAAATGTTTATTGGTCCACACATTTTGCAGTTAATTATTAAAATACATGAATTTTTCCTAGGTCAATTACATTTTTATTTGGAAGACGATGATAATATTTTATATATATCTTTACAGTTTACACCTCGAGACTTTTGTGTGCATAGAAGAATTTTGTAGATTTACTTGTTTTGAGATGTAAATATTTGTCGTCTTCACTGTTCTTGTCTTCTATTCTTCCCATTGACTGAGAAGTACTCCTTCGAATGGAAAATTTATAATGAAACCAATATTTTCATTAAAGAATTAAATGTTTTTTTTTCTTATTTTCACCTGTCCTCGATTTCTCTTTTCTTCCTCAGTCCGACATTTACATCAAACTCATTTCCGAGCAAAACCTGAAAACAAAAAAGAATATTACACTGAACCCTACGCATCAGCAAGGAGGATAGGACCTGTATAAAACCTGAAAACAAAATAGAATATTACACTGAACCCTACGCATCATCAAGGAGGATAGGACCTGTATAAAACCTAAAAACAAAATAGAATATTACACTGAACCCTACGCATCATCAAGGAGGATAGGACCTGTATAAAACCTGAAAACAAAATAGAATATTACACTGAACCCTACGCATCATCAAGGAGAATAGGACCTGTATAAAACTTGAAAACAAAATAGAATATTACACTGAACCCTACGCATCATCAAGGAGGATAGGACCTGTATAAGATTCTAAAACGTAAAAGAGCTGGTTCACAGTAAACTAGCAAATGTGTCGGCGTTGCCCGTGAAATTTTAAAAACTTGAAATGTCTCTAAAATCATATAATGTGGCGAGAAGCGCTAGAAATGCATTGCTTTAGTTCATAAATACCGGAATAGTAGCGAGCAGAGTGGCAGCAAAGCTCAACACCATCATCTCATTCTGCAGATTCCCGTCGTTGTCCAAGAGGTTTGCAAGATCAAAGAAATTCATACGTGCACTTCCTAAACAAATATGCAATCGCGTCAAATTAAAAAACTCTGGAATTAATTTGAAGTACTAGCCCGACATTTGGGCCTTATGGCATATATGACATATATACATACATTGTACAGTGTACTGCTAGTGTATAACTTTACAATATGTTAAGGTTGCAGTCTTTCTCAAGCGCCAACAATTAATATTTAACCAGTTGAGAGTTGAAATTCAGAAATTTTAAACAAAAATCCAAGAAGCTATGATCAACCTCATTTAAAGGGAGTGTTTGCGAAAAATAAAAGGAGGTATATATGCTTACGTCCCTTTAAAATAAATAAAAATAAAAGCTTGATTTATGGATTTACAGAGACTTACCTGGCTCTGATTCTTCCGAGCTCCAAAAATTTCCCATTTTTATCTTTAAAATTTGTTATCTACGTATTATTCATTTGGTAATATGATTTAAAGCAACAAAACACACACCTCTCACCCTTTAGTAAAAGTAAATTCAACCTAAAGTCTGACCGCGTCAACCTTGTTGCACCAGCTAGTCCTATTTACCCAATGTCCGGGCGATACATTACAAACTGGGACCGGAAAGGTTTACCCGGCTCGGAAATTCAAATGTACTACGGCTGCCCGCGAAAAACAAACGTTCTAAAGTTATTTGAGTGAAAACTATTGTTGATTTCATATAAATAATTAAGAAGAAATAGGGAAAATCTGATAATTTATACTCCTGCAATTTTATTTTATAGAATTGAGGTTTCTTATAATTATAGATAGTTTACGGTAACTTGACAAACTGAAAAAATTCTTTAAAAAAATTTATAATAAAAAAAAATTCAAACTTTTTATTAATTTTATTAAGTTGACTATTATATAATGCATAATTTGTGTATAAAGGTTTCTTATAAAATCGCATTTAAATTAAAATCTTTATTTTTAATAAAAGAGATTTATACTGTTTTCCTCTGACAATTCTTTTAAATGTTTCACACTTGAGTAGAAAAAAGAGCTGTGTTGTCTATCTTTATATCCCGATGGCTTGATTTCGCTTTTTATTTGATGATACAAGCTTTTATCTCTTCACTACAGTTTTTCTCCCCTGACACGCACCCCTGATCCTTCAGTAAAAGTAAATTCAATCTAAAGTCTGACCGCGTCAACCTTGTTGCTTAATCGTTTTTGAAACGTTCGTTAAACGATCGTTTTTTGTTTCGTTTTTCAATCGTTTTCAAAAACGATCGTTTCGTTTTTGGAAAAAACGATTGTTTTTAAAAACGACCCACTCGTTTTGAACTTTTAGAAAACGAATAACGATCGTTTTAAAAAAACGATAGTTTTTTTTAAACTATGACCATTTTTCATACGATTGTTTTCTTAAAACGATCATTTTTGAAAAAAACAATCGGTTTTTTTTAATTATTGACAATTTTGTTAACGCTTGTTAATTAAGGGTCGTCGTTAACGATCTTTAACGAAGGGTTGACGTTAATTATCGTTAACAAAACTACGAACTTTATAAAAACGGTCGTTTTTGGAAAAACGATCGTTTTTGAAGAAAAAAAAATTACATGAAACTTTATTGAATGTTGTCTTACATGAAGTTACAAAGTTGTGGGGGAGCTAAAACTTCTTGATATTTTCTTAAAAACTACTCAATGATCAGTACAGATGCCCTTCAGGTCAGTTTCACCTCTACTTTAACGATAATAAACGAAGAGTTGTCGTTAACGATCGTTAAAGAAGGGTAGTCGTTAACAATCGTTAACGAAACGATCGTTTTAAAAAACGACCATTTTTTAAAAATGATCCTTTCGTTTTCGATTTTACGTCGTCGTTTTCATAACGAAACGATCGTTTTTAAAAAAAAAATGAAAATCTTAAATCCTGAAAGATCAACAGCATTTGATGTTTATTCGGATAATGCTATTGATATTTCAGGATTCAAACAAAATTATGGTAACATTTCAGCTTGTGTGTTCAGGTCGCCTTCGATATTTTTCATTTCGTTTGTGGTAAATGACCCATTTCGTTAGTTTTTTCAATCGTTCAAAACTAAAATATTTCCTTCGTTCTTAAATTATCGTTTATTTGTCATCCATTTCGTTCGTTTTCTCACTGAACAACGTTCAGAAAAATTTTTCGCTCAGTAAAATCGTTCGTTTCATGAAATTGTTTCTTCTGCAAAAAAGCGATATTTTTATGTTGTTTGTTTTAAAAAACGATCGTTTATGTTCAATTCTCTGAACGAAATAAGTCGTTTGTCCAACGATCGTTTTTTTTCTGAACGACACCATCATTTACAAAACGTTTATTATCATAAACGATGCCCATCTCTACGGCCGTGTGTGTATAGTTGCAAGGGTGTAAGGATACTACTATATATATACGATGATATTTCTGTCAGGGTCTTAAGTACAGAGGTTTTATCGTTTAGAAATTCTAACTGTAATAATATAATATAACAACTCTCACTTTACTAGGCCGGCCAGGAGGGTCGGAGG